AGGCGAGCCACCGCACCCGGCCCTGTTCATGTTCTTTATTAATCAACTTTTCCCTTTCCCCGTCCTCCTTCCAGAATACAAGGTGGCTTACAAAAAGCAGGTGCAATGCTATGAGAAAAAAAGTGGGTATCAGTCAGCAGTGTGAGAGTTAACGTCGTTCCCACCAAAAGACTAATCCTGGAGGTTTAACCATCCCTTTGGAACAGATGTTAGAAATTATTCTTTCAATCGCAAATGTCCTGCAGTGTGTGCTGTATGCCAGGCTGTGGGCTGTGCGTGGGGAACACAGAGACAGAAGATCCAAAGAAGCGTGGCCTTTTCAACCATGTCTGTGGCCCATGATGACCCTTCACACAAGCCTCCAAAGCCCTCACCAAGGCACCCTGCTGACAATCGCAGCCTCCTTCTCTGCTCACTCAGGCCCTCGGGCACACTGCCTCGCTCTCTCATGCTCCAGGCCTGGTCCTGCCACAGGGCCTTTGCACGTCTCTTTTTCTACCTCTAAAGCTCTTGTCCAGATTTTCTCACGACTCCTCTACTGCATTCAGGTCTCAGTTCAAATGTTACCTCATCTTCAGGGACACTGCAGGACACCTTCTCTAAAACCCTTCTCCCACCCCCTCCCTGACTGCTTTTTCTTCACAGCACTTCTCACTACCCAGATGGAGTAGTATATAATTATTTGTGTTCTTTGTTCTCTGTCTCTGCCGCTAGGAGAGAGTCTCTCAGTGGACGGGGAACTTGTCTATCCTAGTTGCCACCAGAGCATCGCTGACGGCTCACACAACAGCTGGCACGTAGAAGGTGCTCATTAAACACATCGAGTGGATAAGTACAGTCAAATCAGTGCCTGGGCGTTAACTGGAGGCAGCGCTAGTAGCTCGGGGCACTAATGAGCACTGGTGAGCAGGAAGGGGCAGGAAGGAGCACGTATTCACGGAGTGGCACAGAGTTTGGGAGGACACTTGAGTAAAAGAGAGAATGTCGGCATTACATGGAGGAGAGGTGGTGACAGATTGTAGCAATAGGAGAGACGTGCTCGGAAAGGACTAGGCAATCCTCAGCCACAGAAAGTGGCGATATTGATATTACCAAGAAGGCGAGTGTGACACTGCGCTGCCCCCGACAAGCACGTGCACACGCACACGCACACGCATGCGCACTTTGGGCACTGGGGAAGCAGTGCTCACATCTCCATCCCAGGGCTGGATTAAGATGAGTCTGGGAGAACCTTAGATCTGAGCAAGTCAGACAAGCGTGATGAGCTGCTCGAAGAGGGCGTGAAGGAATTTAGAGGGTGGCGGAAGGACAGATGTTCTGGGCAGAGACCACACAGCCAGACCCCAAGGAGAGTCTGGGTAGCTGGAGGATGGTGGAGAGACCCTGCTATTGCGTGGGGGGTGAGCCGGCTCTTGCTGGGGGCCAGGCACCAATCAGGGAAGCTTCCACAGGACCCTGCCAGGCCCTGAGCAGCATTCCTGCCGGAGGGGCTGGTGGCGAAGCACAAAGACTCAATTCTAACAGGGTCGCCCATGTTTATGTGGCCATCCGGGACTCATGGGAACTCGTGTGTGATTTATGCGGTTCTTTTCAACAAGACTCCGGGCTGGGCTGTCACACGGTGGCTCGTGATCAAAGCCTGGACTGAGGACACTCCCCCATGACCTCACACTTTGGGACATGCTCTGGGTCCTGTGGCTTTGAAAAGTTTCTGTTCCCTTCATCCTCCCCCTGGGGCACTACGGAAGAGAATTTTACACATAACGTTCCTGAAACAGACCCTGCTGGAAGGGAGCCCCAGGAGCCCCACTCCGCCTTGCTGTGTTAGATGGGGTCCTGCAGCCGTGGGCTTCCCAGCAGGCCCGGGCCTTCTCCTCTGGTCCTAGGGGTCTCCACGAGGAGAGGGTGTGCTGGCTGAGCACGGCTCTGAGAAGACAACCCGGCGAGGCTGTTGGGGGATGCCGACCCATTCCCTATTGGGGCGAAGTCTGACTATCCATCTGGTGTCCCTGCAGCGACCTCATGGTGCCCAACGGCCGACCCCTTCCCAGCAGCCCCCTTTCATGAGCCTTGCAAGTCCAGGCAGGTTCTTGGGATTCTCCCAGCCACGTGCAGATCTGAGATTTGGATGCAGAGTCACGCACTGCATAACGACCGTTCCATCCATGATAGACGACGGTGGTCCCGTAAGATTACAGTATCTTTACCGTACCTTTCCTGTGTTTAGACACACAAATACTTACCTTTGCTGTTACAACTGCCTGCAGTGTGCAGCACAGCCCATGCTGCACAGGTTGGTAGCACAGGGGCAAGAGGCTGTACCACACGGCCTCAGTGTGTGTGGGCTGTTACCATCGAGGTTTGTGTACGTGTACTCCATGATGCTCACACAACCGTGAAATCACCTAACACATTCCTCAGAACCTTTCCCCATCGTTAAGCAACACATGATTGTATACTGGATGTCACTTGTGCCCTCAGCGGCCTTTCTCAGATCCCGTGAAAACCTTGAAGCCCTGGAACCAAAAGCCCCACCAGTGGGCACTGAGCGTGAGCCACAGAAAACACGACACCTGAGCCAGACTCGCGTCAGGGTGTGGAATTCGACCTGGCAATGCCACTTGGTGGGGACACCAGGATTATGTTCAGGGGAGGGGAAGTGACAGCAGATCATTATGAGGGCAAAGCTGATCTCCCAGAGCCCAAGCTGAGACTCCATTCAACCTGGGCGGGTTGTGGAATGATGTCTGATTCTGGAGCAGCATCTCAGGGCGCTGTGTGGAGGACAGGCCGCTGAGAACATCTGCATCTGCGTGGTGCTGGGTAAGGGCCCTGCAAGCGGGAGGTGGCCGGTCCAACATGGCTTACCAGGAAAGAAATTTTGCAGATGATGGAGGGGGAAGGGAGAAATCATGCTAACATCATGGCTCTTCAGAGGCAGTGAAAAGAAATGTCCTTGAAGGCAGCCTCTGAGTTCCCCAAAGGCTCCCATTTGAAGCATGGCTCACCCTGTTCCAGAAAGAGGGCCGAGCTTCAGAGATACTCCTGCCTTTCCTACCTTCCTCAATATGCCCACATCTACCTCTAGAACTAAGAACTGATGGAAACAAGCCCCAACCAGTCCAAAGCAGCCCACTCGCTCCCACTCCTTGCGTCAGCATTGGCATGAATGGAAACGGCTCCTCTTAAACTGTGAGAGGGAGGGAGCAGGAGGGCAAGGGCTGGGGCCTGTGGTGTTTGCTCTCTTGATAGATGTGCCCTGAGAGAATCCTCATTCGGCTTTGGAAAGCTTTTTTATTTTTTGAATGCCATATATCAACAAGCCTCTGCTGTAGTAGGTTATTGAAAATCCAGACATACGCACCGAAAAGGCTAGATGATATGCTTTTAGGCTAGGCTTTCAGCTTTGTCTTCTCAAACTTGATGCACAAAAAGTTGAATAGAGAATTGTGGGACAATGAAGAAAGAGGGAACTGAGAAACACAGGGAATGTGGGAAAGATAAAGGGTTATGAGGAAAGATAGAGAATTGTGCAAATAATAAGAATTCTGGAGAAAATGGGGAATTGCAGGGGGAAAAGTGAATTTGGGAGGAGGCAGGGGAGCTGTGGGGGAGAATGGACATGTGGAAGGGCTTGGGGAATTGTAGCAACATAAGGAACTGGGGGAGACATGAGGTAATGTGGGGAGTTGTGGGAGAAATAGGGAGTTGGAGTACAGAATAGGAAAGAGTTGGGATATAGGAATTCTGGGGGGAATAAGGAATTGTGAGACAAAAGGAAAGTTGGCAAAAGGAAATTTGTTAGGGGAGAGTGTGGCAAAGAAGGGAGAATTTTAAAAGAGAGATAGTGGAAAAAAGGGGAGATAATGAACAAGTGTGGAAGAGAACAGAAAATTTGGAAGAAGAAAGAATTAAGGAAAAGGACAGAATTGTGGGGAAAAAACAAAATGGTGGGAGTAGGGCCTTATGGGAGAGACAAAGGATTATGTGAGGACAGGATTACGGGAAAAATAGGAATTCAGGGGAAAATGGGGGAGTTATGGGAGAGACAAAGGATTATGGGAGAGAACAAAGAACTGTGAATGGAAATTCTGGAGAAAATGAGGAATTTGGGGGACAGCAAGAATTTGCAGAGAGACAAGGAAATGTGAGCAATAAATGGAATCATGGGAGAAAACATGAGCATGAGCATGGGTGGCTCACGCCTGTAATCCTAGCACTCTGGGAGGCCGAGGCGGGCGGATTGTTTGAGCTCAGGAGTTCGAAACCAGCCTGAGCAAGAGCAAGACCCCGTCTCTACTAAAAATAGAAAGAAATTAATCGGACAACTAAAAATATATAGAAAAAATTAGCCGGGCATGGTGGCGCATGCCTGTAGTCCCAGCTACTCGGGAGGCTGAGGCAGAAGGATTGCTTGAGCCCAGGAGTGTGAGGTTGCTGTGAGCTAGGCTGACGCCACGGCACTCACTCTAGCCCGGGCAAAAAGAGTCAGACTCTGTCTCAAAAAAAAAAAAAAAAAGACACCACTGCACTCTGGCCCGGGTAACAGAGTGAGAGTTTGTCTGCAAAAAAAAAATCTAGTTTTAAATGGCTGAGGAGCTGAAAATGGAACAGCGTTTAAGTGGTTCACCTTGCCATCTCGGGACTTAACTCTTCACTTAAGTAAAAAACATATTCCGAGCTCCAAACACAAGCAAGCGACCCTGGCAGGCCAAGGCAGTGGGTTTGTGGGTCAACGCTTGGTGGCCAACACACTTTAAGTATGTACGATTTTTATCACAGATTTTCACGTGGACTTTGGGATGGAATTTGAATCATTTACTGGATGGCTGAAGCACCACGTTACTGTTCCGCAGAGCACAACTTGAAGACCCTGGTGCTAGAGTCTGCACGTGAAAAGCAGAGATCCGATGCGTCAGCACTGGCCGACAGGCTTTTCATGGTACACGCTCCAAGGGAGCGGGACAGATTAGACGGCACCTGTGATCTAAAGACCATGTCATAACACTCATTGCCTCACAGCCAATGTGTCGAAGGGTTTAAAGTGACAATTTATCACATATTCAAAGTGACATCCACAAAAGCTATCCATGTAACAAAAACAGTTGCACCCCCTTAATATTTAGGAAAAAAAAAACAAGATGCCATCTAACCCAACAGGGAGCCAGTAAGAATTAAGGCTACAGCGTAAGCGCCGTAAATGAATAAACGAAAGGCACCACTGAAATTAAAGGAGAGGTAGATGGTAAAATGCAAGAGTGGAGTCATTGTCAGCAACTGGAACTTTCCGTTCGCCCCCAAAAGTTCAGTGTTCGCACCAGGACACCCCCTCCACACTGGGTCACCTGTTGTTTGATAAAGGCTTTGCAAGGGCAGCTCTGGGGCCCTGGCAGATGGGTGTTACCTTCGGACAGCATGCTCAGGGCTTCGTCAGAAGTCTGCCCACTGAGTCTCGACACCTTTCTGGAATCGGGGGTTTCGTGGGGCTCGTGGGAGCCCCTCGGAGCCGGGTGAGCCCCCTCGGCAGCCGAGGCGGTCAGCGATTCCCACTGGATCTCCTTCCTGGCAGACTGAAACTCCAGGCTGCATCCTGTCCAGCCGTAGAAGGCCAGAGACAGGAGAAATCCCTGGGCTGGATTCAGTATCCCCTGGGGGGACAAGGAGACACGGCGGTGAGTGCGGCACGGCAGGAGTCAGAGCACTCAGGTGTCAGAGCGACAAAGTCCACTGTGACACAGGCACTCAACAGTCACGTCCCCACCGCGGCCAGAGTGCCTGTGTCCTGCGGCTTTCCACCTTGCACTGCCAAGGCAGAATTTGACTTAATAACGGTTCTTGAGGCTGAAAACGAGTCTGGGAAACATCCCTGCACTTGTGCGTGGTCAGAACGTATCCGGTTAGCCAAAGGAACCAGGCCAGGCTCCAGACGGAAATGCAGGGACCCAGGGCTAGGGCTGGTCTTATCTTAAAGTCCCTGTGAATGAGAGTTTCCCCAATTGGAAGCACCGCAAATCCGATTCTGTGTAGCACAGAGAGCACCTCTCCACCGACAAGTCCCGCACGCATTTCTTACTATGCATGTGATATAATGAAAACTTTGGGGAGAAGTCTACCCGTGCTGCTTCCACTGCGCCGTCATGTCAGGTATTTCCATCTGATATTTTTTCTTGCGTGTGTTTTTATGTAGTTGTAACTGGTATCATTGTATAATTCCTACATTTTCCACTTAATACTAGAGATTTCATGATCATCATTTTTAACCTCTGGGAACATTCCATCAAGATGAAGGACCACGTTGACTTAACCACCCTTTTTATTTCTTTTTTGGAAATGTGAGTTTCCTGTAATGCTTTATAAAAATGGATAATTATAAAGCTACCAGGAATATCTTCATCTCTACATGGTCTGAAATATCCCTTCAAGATAAATGCTGTGACATTGTGAGATTGACTGACAGGTTTGACACTGCGCCCAACTGGTTTACCGGAGTTGTACCCTGGAATAACAACCCCAGCAATGAATGAAACCAGCTAGCCAGCACACCAAGGCCAGACGCAGGCAGACCAGGAACCCCTTCAGCTCATTCTGTATTGAAATAACAATACATTGTACTTCTGAGTGGTTCTGTTTCTTTTTTTTTGACAAGCAAAAATCTGAAATCTAGATTGACCTACCATGATAAACCACGTGGTCTTGGCTGCATTTCTAACACGTTTCAAAGAGCCTCCATTGATATCCGTTTGCATTTCAAGATAGAATAAAAGGCTTTCGTTGATGATATTCGACAACCAACTGTTGGAAAGAAAATGGCCACAGGTAAAGAGAACGTTCAGTAAGATTTGTTTTTTTAATGTTGGGGCCAGGGAACAATCTCTACCATGGCCTGAAAGTGCTAACTCTTTGGTGGAGAGATGACCACTTCAGCAGTCAAAAACTACAAGGAACCAGCACACCGAAAATGTAATTCAAAAAACATAACTCCTCTCGGTATAAAGCAGACGTCAGCAAATCCTTCCAACGGTAGCACTCAACACCACATCAGGGTGGAGGGTTCTGGCACTGTATCACGCAACCCAGAATTCATTCTTTGTTTGAGAAGTACCTAAAGGTTTGACAGAAACCAAAGCAAACCTTATCTTGACATTTTTCTGTTGGAATTTTCAATGTTATTCTAGGTGGATCGGCGAAATTGGAAATGGTGAGCTGAGTGTATTTTTAGTAGGAGAAAATTTATTTACGTCTCTCCTAGGAGGGTTTCCAAATGAACCTCAGCATATCGGGTGAATTATTACCACCACAGGGCTCGCCCTGTCCTGCAAAGTAGAGAGTCACCGCGGCGCAGCATACTTGGATTCCAATCTTTTTTGCATTGGTTACCGGTCAACTTTCAAAGCATCCACCTGAAGCATTTGCGCAGGATACCAGCGGTGGGGAAAACTGGGGAGAGAAAAGTTGCTCGGCCTGTCCTCTGCGCCTCTTAACTGAGCCATGCGTCATCACAGATGTGATTCTGGCGTCAAGACTGGGGCAAACGGGTAGATTTAAAAAGCACAAGCTAGCACTTTATTTTACTTAACCCCAGCAGTGAGACGAGATACCATAGGCACGTGGTTGGGACATTTCACAAAACCAAACCCAGGAGCTGGTGTTCTAAGGACTTTGTATAGAATTTGAGTAGATTTGAATAGTTTTCCAGAAATTCCTGAATTTTGGACTTGCTCCCTTGTCCTCCGTGTGTTGCCTCAAAGAGCACCTGGCACAGTCTCACGGATTTCCTGCGCAAAGACTCTTCCCCTTGGCACTTGCCGTTACACTCGCAAAGGCAAAAGGCAAGTTGTGTGCACGTCCCTGCCCACTAGCAATGAAAGAGTAGGAGAAAGGTTACCAGATCATCAAAACCAGCATGATTTTGAAAAATCGGATCCTGATCACAGCTCCCATCCTTCTCTCGTTCTCGGTGTAAATGCCTTGTCTTCCTTTCAGCAGGGAGGCCACTGCAAGGAACAGAGAGGACCGTTTTCTGCTCGAGGTTCCGGCTGCTGCGCGGCACAGAGGGCCAGCGAGGCAGAGCACAGCAGACGGCAGCCCTGAGCACAGCCGGGGGCCTGGGGCACCAACACTCCCCACAGCGCCCACTGGAGTCCTCACACACGCTAAGGATATTTGCTTTTAAAACTTTCACTTTAACATAATGTTAGATTTACATAAAAGTTGCAAAGATAGCACAGACAGTTCCTGTTTACCTGTGCCTTACCCAGCTTCCCACAACATGAGCACTGTACACAACCGCGGGAGCTTTGTCACAACTAAGAAATTAACAGAGGTGCATTACTTCGATTTTATTTGGATTTTCCTAGTTCAGGAACTATATCTATCAAGTTCTCGCTCTGTTGCCAGAGCTAGGGTGTAATGGTGCAATCATAGCTCACTAGAAACTCAAACTCCTGGGCTCGAGCAATCCTCCAGCCTCAGCCTCCCAAGCAGCTGGGACTACAGGGGCGCACCACCACACCTGGCTGATTTTTCTATTTCTGGTAGAGACGGGGTATCACTATGTTGCCCAGGCTGGTCTCCAACTCCTGGCCTCAAGC